TATAAGTATATGTATGAAATGGACGTATTTCTATCAACCGGAACTAAGTGCATTCAGACACGAGCCCTGAGACCCATACGAATATGTGCATGACAGGGCTCACGTCACAATGCAAATAGTTCCGTTTGATAGAAATACGTCCAAATATCCTAATTCGAATGTAGCTAGGGAATGATAAAATCGAACAGAATATTTCTGGTTCCCTCTGCTTCTTTCAAGGAATTTAATTTAATTTTTATCAAGATGTTACCTTTAAAAATTCAGTGATTTAATTCTCGAAATCACCTACGATTGCATTATTCCGAATACGCGTGGAGACGTTTTGCATCTCCAGAGACGCCTTTTAATATCCACTAACTACAGTTGCTTCTGAAGCAGGCCGTTCCGATAATTTTTTGTCTCCCCGCTTTTAAGAGTTTATTGGAATTTTTTCATTCATATAGGCCTTTTTTGTGTGTGTGTGAGGGTGAGGGAGAGGGTGTGTGTGAAAGTGTCTATTTAAATCACAAAATGCACCCATTTGAATTGATGCCACAAAAATTTTTGATATGTTTGTCACCATCGGAGACTTTTAACAGTATTTTCAATGGATCCTGTTGAAGCGAGCCGAAACGGTAATTTCGCATCCCGTAGATTTCCAGAAGGAGAATTTTTTCTGAATGGAACAACGCTAGATTTCCTTTTATGGCGCCACGTATGCACCGATGCGCCTGAGATGCGATGGATGCTTGCATCTGTTAAAAATAATTTTGAAATTTTTTTATTTATATATTTATTCATGACTATTCAATTTTTTTTTTGGGAAAGGGGATTTTTAGAAAGAGAATTAGATTAATATTGAATACGGTGCACGTGTATCTGCAATGAACGGATGGTTCGTATTCAATTGAAGCATATATCTAACAAAACGGATTGCACGAGAGTTTGTGATTTTTTCTGAAGAAAGGCTATAATTTGATTTTTTCAAAGGAGAATAAGTCAACCTAATTCTTTGAACTTTTCGCTGAAATTTCCTCGCACAGGGAAGAAAAATCACGACAGTTTTGAAGTATTGCCGAGTAGTTTTCCAAATAAATAATCATGAGTGGCGGTAGCCACCACCGGGCAATCCAACAATAAAGTATAACGGGAAGTCTGCGACGTCGCAAACCGAGATATGTGGCTTGGAAGTTTTGCCAACGATTTATTATATTCACTGCGCCCCCCATAAATTCCTCAGAAGATGCAAAATTTCAAGTGCCAATTTTATTGGTAAAAAATAAACTTTTCTTTGGACTTTTATTGAATTATTAACATTAAATGTATTTATTAGAGTAATTAAAACTGAAAAATCATTCATAGCCATCGAAACTTAGTCGTCCGTGCCTCTTTAACGTTTGACTTTTCAACTCGTGATTCTCTTACCATAACGGTACGAAAAAAGCACGAGAGTTGCGGAGACGGAGGATTTTTTCTTTCTCAGATTCATAAAAGAAGAGGATACAGGAGTCCGGCCGGATCCGGAGGCGCGGCGCGGGTGTGATACCTGGTCAGCCAGGCCAGAGCGAAAGAGAAAGGCGCAAGGGTGCCGTGCAACGCAGAATCGGCTGGAGGGTGCAGGGCAACAAGACGGTGGGGCCGGGGAGGGGAGGTCCACGCACTGAAAGAGCGCATGTCGTGGTGGAAGTATCATACAGGCGTCGACTTGAGTTAATAAGCGGAGGCCACGGTTTTAAATCCGATCCGAGATCTGATTCAAAAGCCGGGCCACTTGGTATCCGCTCAAGTGAGGGGATAGAATACCAGCGTCTTTTGCTATTAAATCAAGATCGGACACCGAAAGGCCAGGTATAAAGTTCGGAATCAATGAACTCATACAGTAGCCGGGACAACCGCTCCGAGTTCGTCGATGGAGAACCCAAAATTCGGGGAAAGGTAACTAGACCTCAATTTAAAACCCATTAGCGGCCAGTTCGCTCATCGATCGTGAACCGCGTGTTGATGCGAAAAATCGTATTGAATACCGGTTGAGGATAAAGAACTCTGGTGGCGGCAATGCAATTTTACTAACCGTAAAGGCGTTTTTTAAAAGTAACATTTCTACTGTTAAATTAAGTGTGACAGATTCCGTTTCTGTACAGTTTGCAACATGAGGACCTTACCATGATCTGTTAAAAAACGTGTGCTTATATCACGTCAAGAATAGATGGTCACTTTCCTACCCCCCCCCTCATAGATGGATCCAGGGGGCGCAGGGGACGTACACCCCCTCATAGGCGGGTTCAGGCATGGGGAGCACGCCCCCCCCCCCTCGTTCGCCCGAAAAAAGAGGGGTAGACGCTTATATCTGGTGATTATTCATAACGAAATTGACTCCAACTACATAATATACGCACCTTAACATTTTGAGAATTTTCGGGGGGGGGGGTGTCCCAGGACTCCCCTTGCACCCCCCCTCCCCTCGTTCCAAGTGTCTGGATCCGCCTACGCTCCCTCCCTCTACCGCCAACCACACTCCAGAGAGTATACTCTACATACACTCTGCTTAATTCATATTTGTAACCAATCTAAACTGTTGCCATTTTAATTTAAAGCACGTTAAGTTCAATTATTTTAAAAATGAATGTATATTCAACCGATTAGTAAGTGTCTGCCCAATTCTTTGATGTACCGTATTCTTCAAAATCATAATTGAATAATCTCCCGGGGCAAGGAAATTGCCAGTCTGTCTTCTGATATCTCCAGTTCTTTTGTGCCAAGCCGCACTTTGTGGAACCGCCGCGCCGGTGCCTTGGGACTTTGTTTTGGTTCTCGAGATTTGATTTCTCCGTTATCTGTTTCTTCCACTTCCTGACTCACTTTTTCGGGTGCACAATGTGACCACCCAGGTCGAGCTGGCGGAACCAGTGGGCATGCGCTTCCTCGTGCGATTTTGGCGTGAGTCATGGTTTTCCGGTGTTTTTCAAAGTGGTTCAAAGTTTTCATGGTTTCTGAAATCAGATTTTGGCTGGCGTGCTTTAGAATAATTTTGGAACATGGAGCTTTCAATTTGTATATTACACAGGGATAGCCTAAGTCCGTCCCTAACACCTTAAATAGGAGGGGGGGGGAGCGTTGCATAATTTAGCATGGGATAGGGTTGAAAACAGTCGGTGCCGTTTGAAGCATCCATTGGACTTCATTTTGCAATTAGAAGCTGCGATCTCAAGCTCATCCGTAAAAACACTCATGGGCATAAGGAAACGATCATAATAGAAATAAGTAATTATCCAGTTATTACTTTTGTATACCTTTATTTACCTACATTAAGATAATTGTATATATTTCCTCCTAGGAAGGTTACCATAAATAAACTCTTGGGGAGAGTGATACAGTAGCCCCTCGATAATTCGACGGCGATGCCGAGCCCCTTGGGGAAATCGCGTCAATTCGAAAAATTCAGTGTTCTTTTACCCTCTCGGTAGTTCGAATTTTTCGGTGGGAAAACGGCATGTAAAAAGTTCTATAATTCGAAATATCTGTGCCGGGCGCTCTATAATTCGAAGTCTCGAGGTGGTTGTTTTGATATGGAGAACTGAGGAGTTTACGATTAAGTCCTCTGATTATCCTATTAGACGACGGAAGATGAGGTGCAGGTAATCAATTCACAGTTGTGATTCCAGTTGTCGCTAAGTGATTTGTTATGGGGAAGTACGGAAAATTAAACTCCATAATTCGAAATCTCGCCGATTCGAAAACTCGTTAATTCGAAGAAAATCCCTGGTTCCTCCAACTTCAAACTATCGAGCGGCTACTGTAGTAAATACGCCGTTTCTAAACTGAGTCAGAAATTGTAGTTTCGAATTGCAAAATTTAGTCCAATTGTAATCCATGAAAATTTGAATGAGCCTTTATTGTAAACGGATAGAGGTGATAAAAAGAAGGGAAATAAAAAATAAAATGAAGGGAAAAAAGAAGGAATAAAAACAAATGTTTGTCAATTTTCAGGAGGAATTCATTCGCAAATCTGGTTATTTTCCCTATTTAAACAGACTATCTCCGTCAGGCTCCGCAGGCAGACAACTTCAGATCCCTATCCCTGAGTGCCTAGCGGACGACCTAATTGTCCAGCACTGGGAGCTACACGATAAAGCTATCGGAAGGAAGCAGCTTTCGCTAGATAGAGGCATATGTAGCCTTCTTGAATTTTTGAATGCGATGTGCCACAGGGTTCCATACCACTGCAGAGCAGGGACAAATATGCCCCATTTAACGGATGAGCTAATTGTCTAGCAATGGGAGCTACACGATAAAGCTATCAGAAAGAAGCAGCTTCCGCCAGTCAGAGGCACACGTAGCCTTCTTGAATTTTCGAATGTGATGTGCCACAGGGTTCCTGACCACTACAGAGCAGAGACAAAAATGGCCTATTAGAACGACCTAACTTTCCAGCACTGAAGTACTTTAAGAACGGCCCATTTTCCAGAGTTTGTTCGTTTCAATGTTCACCTCCTTTGAAAATACGGGGTGATTAATTTCGGAGTTTTTTTTTTTTTTTTTTTTTAAATAAAAAGGATTTCCTCATTTTCTAATGCATGCTTTCACCAGAAAATACTTTCCCTGAGGTTCTAGCTCCCAAAGTTGAAAGCAGCAAAAGTGTGTGTTTTTACCTTTTGGTGACGGGCTGACGCGCCAACTAAATCGGAAGCTACTATAAGCTGAAATTTTTCCTAGAAGTTTTCCTCTGCATTTGTTTCATTTTAGCCATATTTTATTGACTCGCCGAGGATCCAAAAAGGGTCTATTTTTGCGGAGGCTCTCTCGTGATAGGGTTTTTTTCCCCCTCCCTTCTCTACTTTTACTGGGAGTGGCTTATGCGGAAAAATATAGCCCCCATCCACAATTTTCTCTGTAAATTTTAAGATAAACAATCATCTATACCATTTTTTTTTTTTTTTTTTTTTTTTTTTTTTTTTTTTTTTTTTTTTTTTTATAGGAGGATTGCAGAAAGTAGCTCCAAAAGCACGATGGAGCACGAACGGATTGTTGGATGCTCTAGAAGTTCAGCGTTACAAGGAGTTCCCTGAAATTTTCGAGACGAAACATCCGGATAGTAGCTGTAATTCTAGCACGACATCTCCTCGCAGCGTTCGCTCCTTGTTCAGCTACAAACAACCTTACCTCGGATGGCGCTCACAGGAAATGCTTGACAAACCGAGGACCCCCGCAGAAAGACTTGCAGCAGGTCTTTTGCACAAAAAGGACGTTGGCAGTGACCGCAGCATCTCGATCCTGAGCGACTCTACATTCTCGGTGTGAAGATGGACCACACGATGACAACGCTTGAAGTGCATGCGATGAACGCGGCTTGATGCCTATCTATTACATTGAAGGGGTTTTTTGAGGCTAGGTGTTCGGATATTCCGTGTTAAGCGAATCCGGTGGTATGAATGTGAGCAGATCTATGTTATTTTTACAAGAATGATTGATGTTCTTTATTGTTTTGCATTTTCTTTATTTTTGACTGTTGATTTCATAAATAGTAGGATTTAATAGGGGAAAATGAGTTTAATTATTGAAGTTTACTGAAAGTAGAAAAAATACCAGTTCAATTACGAATAAAATTATGTGTTCGTTAATAAGCAAAAAATTAATGGGAACAATAAATTCAATGTAATGGGTCGGTTGCGCTAATTTCAGACTCGTGTTCTGATGACTTAAGCTTAAGATGATTCGATAAACGCCATATTTTGGGTTAGAACGACGTGGGGTGTATCGCATCGATTGATTCCATAATTTCAGCTACTTGTCATTTTTCTCGAATTTTGAGATCGTAATTCTGCTGCCAGGAGACTAAAGAATTCACTGACAATTTGACAAACAAATTTGACGTAATAAAGGCGCAGTTTTTTTAGAGGAGAAATATCGCATTCGATATCAGTATTGAATGCGATATTTTTCCTCTGAAAAATCACCCCTTTTTCACGTTGAATTTGTTTGTCACTATCGGTCAGTGAATTCTTTGCATTCTTTGGTCTCCTGACAACAGAATTGCGATCTCAAAATTCGAGAAAAATGACGAGTAGCTGAAAAAATGAAACCAATCGATGCGATATATCGCATGCCGTTCTGACTCAAAATATGGCATGCATTGAGTCTTCTTAACAATTTGCAAAAAATTATCAGATATGTTCAGAAGCCACGTTTCTGATTCCAATTTTATCAGAGATATCGCCCCTCACAAAATATGGCGTATGCAGTTACCCACCGCAGTAGTGCATGCCATTGTTTCTTCCACCTTATTTTAATCAATCGATGATGTACACATGCCGCCGCTCCTGTGACGTAAGAGCGTACCTCGATTCCCACGAGAGCCCTATTCTCCGTATAAGTCTATGCTTTCCGGGGCTCAAATTGGTATAGAGATACGCCCTTACGTCAGAGAAGCGACGATGTGCACTATGGTAGCTCGATGTAAACCACGGATGAAACTAATTAGGTGCCACGGTATGCACTAAGGCTTTGGATAATGTCATGCACCGTACATTCGGCAGGTGATATCGCTGTAAATATTGAACGTAGAAATTTTGCATTTGGACAGACCTTTTCTTTTTTTAATCTATATGCTGGAACCAACGAAACACGATTCTGCAACTACAGTGAAACTGACCCATTGGCATTGACTTTGTCCTCATTTCTCTGTTGTTCAATTTTAACGATGACCGGCAAATGTTACATGGTAAACAAAAATCTATGCAGAATAGTAAATGTTTAATTTTGCGTAAAGAGCTCATTATTAGCAGCAAATTAATCTTTTTTCACTAAGAAAGTGGAATGTTAATAATTAGAGCAATACAAAATTAGGGATGACATAAGATGAAATCAGAATTCATTGATGTTTTAGGTTTATGTAAATATTATGTTGATACTTATTTTTCTAGTTTCTGTGATTGTCAGATCACCAAAAACGTAATTCATATGGGCATTTACATGGTATTTCATGGCAGCTCTCAAAGAATTGGTTGTAGTTGACTTTATTGAAACTCTCTTGACAATTTGTTTTATTTTTCTTTAGTTGTAAAATATCTGAATTTATAGTGTTTCCTTAATATCTATGTTAAATATATGTTAAAATGTTGAGACTTGCAGCCTATTTCTCTTTTCAATTGGAAACATGCTCTGAACTAGGATTTGAGTAGCAAGAAAAAGGAGTGATTTTCCCGTAACACCGAGCAGTGAAGTTATAATTGAATTTTGCTTGTAGCTGTATAATATAGAAGATGGTAGATTCTGGAATACACACGCATCTTGGTCACATTCAAAACTTTACTCTCAGGCATATTTAATTTTTGTGGGTAATTTTTTTTTTTTTTTTTTTTTTTTTTTTTTTTTTTTTAATGGGGAAACCAATTAAAATTTTAAACAATTGATCTATGCGTGTACTCCTCATAACACCAAAAAAACTTGTCGATACCTATTTAATTACCTCTCAAGTTTTCTCTCAATGCAACGTTAAACTCATGGCAACGTCAAAAACCAATTTTACGGAAGTTTACTTCCGTAGTATCACGCGAGGGGCTTGGAGGACAAGGCGCACAAGTGCAGTTTGGGAAAAAATTGAGATATCAATGAGTTCAGGTAAAACTAATTCTAATGCATATTCTGTAAAAAATTCGCCCCCAAATTCCAATTTCTAAGCATCAAAAAGTCAGTTTGAACTTTATTTCCGCCATAATGGTCCATGGAATTTTGAAACTTCAAACGCGTATTTATCGAAGTAGCAAAACTGCTTTCATGTGCCTTGTCCTCCAAACCCCTCATATATAGTCAGCAGATGCATCCACCATGCTTTTTGCTTTTAAGATAATCGTATGAAGTTCTAGAAACTTACTATTTACAGTGTATGAACAATAAATATTTGGGAATTAAAGTTATTGAATAGTGATTTACATCTTTGAAACAGCAAACAGCGTAGGCATTCAATCAAGAGGATATAATTTGCCCATGCAGCCTGATTTAATATTTGACCAGCTGTTTGTCCGAATTTTGCTAAAATAACTAACAGACTCTAACCTCGTTCTTGAGGCTTTATAAACGGAAACATGAAGAAACGTAGCAGTCCCAGACCACCTTACTCGCATGCACCGATAAAAAGTTTACGCTGCTACTGCATTTAGGATGTTTAAAATGTGTCTTGTGATTTGTAGATATGCTTGTTTTACTGTCCTCGCAATTAGGGTGCCCCCCCCCTCCAAGATGTTTAGTTAAGTGCAGAAACAGTCTGGGGGAGTCTTCTTAGGAGCACCATGCACAATTTAGACATCCAGGATGCTATTTTAGCATTTTTCTTCCGGTGCGTTAAAAATTCATCTGTCACGCAGCATTGCCACTAGGACCGAAACAAATGATTTTAATAACAACATCGTAAGAACATTTAGAAAATTAGGTAGGCCCTGGCTGACATTACAAGAGCAACGGTTCTTTTTTCCGTGCTCACTAGAATTTTGCATAACTCGGCTACTTTTTCAAAATGGTCGGTCACACGACGGGGCGTAAAATACACATTTCTCGGTCCAAGTGCGGACTTATTTATGCTAAAAGGAACTATGCTGCCCGCAAACCTTATGCACATAGTGCGTTCTAGCATGATTGCGTTCAAATGGGTGAATGATAAGCCAATTAGAAGTCCAAATCCGGCAGCCTTGACTAATGATGGCATGTTGTGACGGACGGCCGTGTGTGAATCTGACCCTGGGTCTCTATTTCAATCACAACGTGCTCGGCGCTGGAGTTCGGGGGCTAATTGCTTAAATCATTCGTTTCTCGGATGCCCTGCGCTGATACATCGAGAACCATCTTTATTTCGGAAACATTTTTTGCATGTAAGCCTAGCTTCTGAACTGATATAGATGAAAGGTGAGGTTCGGATTTTATTGCAATCGATAGAGATTCCCAGGATCAGTCTCCAGAGCATAGAGGAAAAAGAGGAGGTGACCGTAATTTGAGGATTTTATGAGCCCGTGACGTACGGTAAGTACAATACTACCGTGCTAAGGAAAAACGCCGTATGAACCTTCAGGCATTGCCAAATTTCCTTTCATAAAACGCAAATTTCCGGCTAAACTTATGACTATTTTCCTCCCAATTTTTCAGATAATAATATTCGCAATTTCACCTAAAGATTCTGACAATTTAAAGGAAAAATATTCATTACTTTCTTCAAAAATAATAATTTTATCGAAGTAAATTTGGCAACTCTCGGATGCTCATACGGCGTTCTTCCTTAGCACGGCAGAATATGGCGTCAATATTCCAGCAAAATCCTAAATTCAGAGAATGAAAAACGGGCCATAACGTCCTTTTATTTTTGGCTTGTTTAACTCAAATATAATTTCGAACACTTTGTATGGAATGATTTTTCCCCCTAAAATACACCATGTTCAAGAACATTAATGGTACCTATGAAGCGTCTGTACCTACCCCACCCCCGTCATCAACGAAATCCAAGAGGCCTTAAATGAGACCACCTCCTTTTCTTTCCCTATGCTCCGAAGGTCCTTATGAGCATTCATACGTTTCCGCATCTCTTCCAATAAAGAACTTCACAAGGAAAATTGTAATTAATCTCTCTCAAAAAGTTCATAGTGAACATAACATTGTTTGCCATTTATTCTAAAATATCTGAAAATTTCAAGAGAAAATATGCATAAATTTCCTCAAAAATGTATGTTTTATCTGGGGCAATTCAGCAATTCTCGAACATTCTTAAGGAGTTCTACATTAGCACTTAGCAGCGCACTATTATGCACGCATCCATTAATAAAGGGAGAAAGCGATTGGCTTGCAAGACCTGATTTTAAAGGCTTTTAATCATAACTCAAGATGATTAAAGTGAGCTTTAACTGAACGACGTAACTAAATAAGGGCGTAAACGTGAAACAGATCTCAAAGCACTTACGCCCTTCTTCAAAAATTCGCTAATTGGACCTTTACCAATCAGGAATGAAGTCCGCCGCATGGCTAGAATAGTTCATTTTTTAGTAGCTGTAAAAAAGATGCAGAAAAAAAGTAAGATCACGCGACCAAGCCATATTTTTAGACTCAATTAATTCATTGGTGATCAATCATTTTTCTTGAGAAGAGGTGTGTCAAGCTTGAACTCGCTGTGAAATCCACCTGTGATTTTTTGCCTAAAGGTAAGTTTTTTTTTTCGATAACCGATTTGGTCTACAACGATTATGATTTTTACACCGGGCAAGACTATCGAATTGAACAATGATTTCAGCCAAGAGCTATTCAGTGGTATTCAGAAGTTATTATTTCGTGCGACATAATAATCATCATGCAACTTCAATTTTAAAGGGCAAGATGCAACTATTCCGGCCCCGAGAGCATCCATGTTGCCTATAGATAAATTGCAGGCGCTCTTGCTACCGTGTTAAGGAGCATGTATGTGTCAAGCGCTTTTTGCCATCTAACGTCGATTGGTGCAATTATTCAATTCAGTATAATAAACGTTAGTATCTTATTAATGAGTTGATTTTGGAAATTTTCAATACAATTTGACAGATTTTGGATGATGTCCAAAATAATGAGAAAAAATGTCTCGCGTTGCTTGGATTCTTTCCCTGTGTATAGTGGCCCATCGGGAGATCCACTGTCCCGTGATTTTTTGGGCAGGGGTACATTCCTGGAAAGTCCCAGGGATGTGAAAAAACGGGGGCAAACCAGTCTTGCCTAATACAAAAGGGCGAGTGCGTGAAAATTTGTCCTCCGGAAACTGTACAGGGAGAGAGAGGGGGGCTCGAAAAGTCGGCCAAAACGCCTTAATTATTTTATACATACCTCAGGCGTCTTTGATGTGTTAAAGTTATTTGAATCGAGTTGCTATGTAGCTCCGATTCGCTCGGTATCTTTTTCGACTTCTACCATTTAATAATAACGTTATGGATCTCACATAGATCAAAAATTTCTATCCAAGCTTTTCAGCGCTGACGAAACTCGATCATTTCTCTATGGAAAAACAATTCTTTTGGATCCGGAGTCTAGACACGTAAAAATTTGACATTAAAAACGTCTTGATTCAATTGGATTTTTGTTTGAATTTAAAGGAAATCCGCTTAATTTAAAAGCCTTGGCCATCGATTCAAGCAAAGATCCAATAGAGTATTTTTTTTAATGAAATTACTCACGAGTAATCTGGCTTCTTTTTTGAAAATCCATTGCAGACGCGCGTTTCGCCCCCCCCCCCCCATATGGAGCTTCTTCGGTGCCGAAACTAACACTAAAATACTAAAAACACTGAGAAATCCATCGATTGTCCTATGGCAAAATTGAGCATATTTCAAAAGTTCGTATCACATTATAGTCACACTATACACTGGGGGGAAAAAAAGACATTGGATCTGGAGTCCAAACTCTTAAAAACATCGACAAGAAAAAATACTCTTGATTCAATCGGATTTTTGCTTAAATCAAGAGGAAATCCGCTCAAATTAAGAGGCTTGGTTCTTGATTTAAGCTTAAATCTGATTGAATCAAGATTATTTTTTCTTGTCAATGTTTTCAAGAGTCTGGACTCTAGATCCAATGTGTTTTTTTTCCAGTGAGGAGTATTTTTCTTGACAATTATTTTAAAGGTCTGGGCTCTGGATCCAAGAGACCTTTTTTCCAGCGATCAGCGAGAGTAACGACCGGTCCCGCATCTGCCCCACGACCCACGCATTTGCCTCGAACGGCGGGTTTTTTCTCAATTTCTAGACAACGGAGAGAGCAGGGCGCGGAATCCCCCATCGCCGCGAAATAAACCGCCGGAAAGTTGCACCGGTCGCGGAGAGGGGGCTCGGGGGGCGTGTATCCCCGCGAATGAATGGGCGAAGGCGCGGATGAGTCAAAGGCGCCCGGGGCACCCCCTCGCGCACCTGAGAACAGCGTTGCCGTGAACCTGTCGCGGGTGCCCCTGGGCCCCCCGCGAAGGGGGGATTTTCCGGCGGAGCGGCAACGCTGCCGGGAGCTGGATTCGCGGATCGCGGACCCGCCGTTTAATCACGCTCAGTCGATCGCGGGCCGGTGTCCATTAAGTGAATAGTGATCAATGCAATTTTAGAAATTTTTACAACGAAAATTCTTGTCCAAGGTAAGCAGCCCTGCTTCAAATATGCCTAAGCGTCGTGTTGTTTTTTTTTTTTTTAATTGTGCATTTTACGTGGATTTTCTTTTCGGTTTTTCTTCATTTTAAACTTAATTTTATTTTGAAGTTCAAGAGAAAATTGTGCTCCGTGATACAAAATTGTGCTAGGTTGGGGTTTTTCCCCTACTGTTAGATTTTCAGTTTTGTATTGGATTTTAACGCACGGTTGAAAAATCACCGCCTCTCTGTCTGAATGTTTTTGTTTATTTTATTGGGGAGGTTGACTGAAGATAAGTCGTGGAAAAGGTACTCGAAAAATCCGGTAGAGTGACAAGTCTTAAAAGACGTATCATTAGCATGCTCAAAATAATGCTTGAAAAGCTCCGTCAGAGCTCTCCGTTCTTATACTCGGGAATTTTAAAATGATGGACAATTTACGAATATCTGACTTTAAGTGACAGACTTTAACCTGACTTCTGGCAGACGGTGAGCTATTGAAAGATAAATGTGGGGTTTTGGTTTCCCCGATTTTTAATTCTGAAGGGATAGTTTGGACTTATGCCTCTGAGTACTTACCATACGATGACTATCATATCGGAAATATCAATAATCATCCGTGTTTTATTCAGATTGCACATATTATGCTAAAGGAATTTTTCCTGAGTGTAAACTAAAATGCTCAAATAATATGGCCTATTGTTAAGTGTTAGAGACGTACACTCTTTTTGATAATTCTCCGTCGAAAGGTTGTTGTGAAAGGGTGCCTGATAGTCCATTATTGACTAAAATAGTGACTGCAGGAAAAGTGGCATATGAGATTATGAAATGTGTTATTGAGACTACACATTAGCCGGTCGCAAGTATCAGGAACAAATGAAAATACACGAACCAAAAATTTGGTTTGACAAACCAAATGTGCAAGTTGGGACACCGAACGTTCGGTTCTTTTCCGGTGTCATCTTGAAAGAAAATAGATCGCAAAAAATTTTCATGACGAAATTAAAAAGAAATGATTAACCTTAAAAGTAACGGCTTGAAAAGAAGAAAGGATTCAATGATAAACCTCTTCGTATCGTATGCTTGGGTTGGTGACATTTATTTCTTTCGAAACAAAAGTTTCTAAGATGTAAAGTTGGCACTCGAGATTTCTTCATTGCCAAGAGACTCATTCTCACACCTTGTTAGTGGACCTGACTCATTGTAAAAACAAATAAAACGACTGAACTTATAGCTTCTGTCTACACATTTATTAATGACACAAAATCACCTCGTTTAAAACTTAAAATCTTACCAAAAAAAGTCTATCATAGGAAATTGCGAACTGATAACATATTTCATATTTGAATGCTCTCAACCTTTTTACAATAATACAATGTATTTTTTCTCACATACATTGTACGCGGTTAACACATCAATCATTGAAAATCATAGGAGCAAGACCTTTCACCCCCACCAAAATGAAATAAAAAGTGTTCATACGTTGAGGAAATTTTGAACGTGCTATTCTAAGTGAGGGATACGTTCAAAAGTTGCTCTGGAGGTTCCGTCTGAAGTGTGGTTTGAAAATGATAAAAGAACTAACAAAATAACATAATCTGTATCTACTTCAAAAAGGTTACAACGATCAACAAAACTTTGCCATGACCACTTTTAAAAGGTCATTTTTCTTTAGTGCTCGTATCCATACAGAGGAATTTAAAATATTTCTTGCAGTTTTCCTGTCAAATTGAATCAAAACTACTTTCAGCTTTTGATGAATGCATCCAGCTTCAGTTGCGTATACTATGTTACAAATTCTAGTTAGCCGCACGTGCTACTGACAGTCTTACGTAAACAAAAACAAAAACAGAAGGAAATTGTGTGCTGTGTGGTTTACCTGTTCGGTTATCTGCATGGTTAATCAGTAGCAAAATCGGCAAAGAGTGTGTTCGGGGCCTTGGCCAAGTACTCGACCAAGTTCTTGCAACCTTCACCTCTTACGGAGCACTTGCCACTTACTGAGCGGAGATTGAATTATTGTAATATTGCTCGACCGTAGTTGAAGAAAATTGATTTCAAAAAAGATAAAACAAGGTAGGAGTTTGATCTTTATTTGGACGGAGTTAAACAGAAAGGAACCAAGCCACATCGGGATCGAACCGAGAAAAAGAGGTTTAAAGTTTGGCTCCTGCATAAGACTCGATGTAAAAGGTAAACTTCAAGTTCAATTTCTGCAAAATTTGCTCCAACAAAAACTTTGAATTTTTGGCGATAGATAGTAGAGCAGCGGTTGAGTTCAAAACCACTCATAACTCAAATTCTCCAAAATGTGGGTTGGTTCCTTTCTGCTTAACTCAGTCCATTTGGCAGAGAGGAACGAATCAAGACGCCAGATGAAAAAGGGCGTGAGCCTCACTCACGCCCATTTTCCGGAGAGCGGCTATTTTAATTTGGCATAGTCTCGCATACGAAATTTCATGACCTTGGTGGAAAAATTGAGTGAGATACAGTGATTTTTGAAAGGATTGGTTGCGCTCTATTCACTAAAATTTTCGAAGAGGAAAGTTCACGGAAGATGAATGACTGTTTGCAAAGCAGCATTAACTAACATTTTATTTTAGAACTTTCTCACCTCAACTTGGCAGTCTCGAATTCGTTACTTCTATTTTAAGAAGCAAAGTAAATTAGGAACAAAATATTTTTAAGTTTGTTTCCTCTTTTCTAATTTTAATTTATTTTACCCTCCCTTCCTCATTTTCCACTTTGCTTCCCTTCTTTTATTTTAAAACTGATTTAAGAAAAAACAATCTCATATTTCAAGAGAAATCTGTACTGTGAAAAAGGGCGTAAATATTGTCTGATATTAGTTTTCTCTCGATTTTGACGCACCATCATATCATACCAGTTACTGAAACTTAAATATTGAATTTTTTATCATTGCTAAAAAAATAACTTTATTTTTGGCATATATATCTTACGATGCACCCCTAAAAAATGTCCATGCAATAAGCAAAATTATTGTATTATTTCCTTCATTTTTCGTGACACTAGCATTATGCTGAAGGATTTCTCACTTTTGGCTGAAAAATGATCGTAAAATCTTCTGATCTTATATTTTGATAATGTAATTTGATAATGGCATGGGTGATTTCACGATAACAGGAATAGTTAAAATGTGAAATACCTTAGAAATAAAAGTGCACCAATTTTAACAGGATTTCGTTACCTCATTTTAAAGGTATTAAACTTCCTTTTCCCAGCTTTGGCACGCTCTATAATGATTCAGTGCAAAGTTAAAGTGATTGATAAATAAGCCATTGAATTAGGTATCAGCGCTTCCCGCGGGACTGCTGGAGGTCCACGCAAACAAGGCGGCCCTGCCAAATTGTGTCGGTTACGTAACAGACGCAGCGTAACCGACACTCAAAAATGTGAGATTAAAGATGATACAAAAGATGAAACTTGGCAATTCTTGAGTTGTGACGTGGAATTAATGCTTCCTTAAAAGTTTTCTAGACTTTGGAGACTTTCTTTTAGTTAAATACTATTAAATTGAGGTTTTTGCGTAGTGAGGAATTAGTGCTACACACGTAAAAATCACTAGTTTTCATAAAAATTAAAGTTTTCATTGTAAAAAAAAGTGACTTATCAGTAATGGTTTTGTCAAGAAGACTTCAGCGAACAATTTGATGGCAGTTTTGAACCTCCTGACTCCATTTGGCGAGATAAACACTGCACTTAATACAACTGCAAAAATGTGTTGCCAAATGTGGCGACACCTCTTTCTTATGACTTTTCTCACTCAATAATAAACATTTCAGTTCAAACTGGCAATTTTCTTGAACACTAGAGACTCTTTTCAGCAAATATTGCCAAAGAGTTCATGATCAGTACTGATATGTTACCGCAAATTGCTCTTTTGCTTCAAAATCGAGGTTGGCGACGCGTAACCGACCGGACATTTTCGGCCTTTAAAGTCTCATATTATTAAATATAATAATAATTCATCATATTTTTAAGCATGGATAGGTTCAGGGACATCATTCCTATTGATTAATTAATTTGGTTTTCAATCGTTTTGCCCTATGTCGTTCATAACCCACGGCGACACGACTATTCCTATTATCGTGAAATCACCCGCATACGTTTCACCGTAATCTAAAAATTGAAAGTAATCGACACCATTCACAGCAGCCATTGAGAACAGCAGTTATAAGGTACTGCTCGTGTTTAATTAAAACTTTTAACAATGTCTGGCTTTTAATTAATGTAACGGTAAACAGGAAAAAAACAACCTGATAAACCAGGAAAGAAACTTAGTGCAAATGAAATCATCTGTATAAGAATTCCTTTACGCTGTGCGTGACCGTTGCACGATTTTAATATAAGCTGAAATCCGTACATATCTTTTTTCAAGTATATATTTCATTTTTTACGACGGTGCTACTTGCTACTTTTTGTGTGCCACACGTTACTTCAAGGCCGGGATAGTACATAACTTTATTCTATCGACATATTCAGCTCTTCTTGCAGTTTGGACAAACAAAACATCACGAAAATCTCGCCTCTTGACACATTCTGATGCATATTCATCGACATGTCAAACTTAATTAAGATTAGCGCGATCTGTATATTGAAGAATCCGGAATGTCTCTATACGTGCCGTTTAAGAATTTTAATTCCTATTTAATCTGATTAATTACTTAACACCTCAGAGTTTGAATCGAAAATTTTCAGATGTCTCGTCATCTGTAGGTGGCAAAACATCGTACGCATCATCCGTCGTTGTCTGCTTGCTCTACGTTTGCCTTTTTTCAGGGTAGAAAAGAAAAGGATCGAAACCTTCACGTATATCCCCAATTGAAATATTCGATTTAAATGTTTGATCATTTAGAGGCGATTAACCAGCTTAGCTTTTTAATTCTATAGACGTCACGAAAAAAGGGAGTTCAGATTTTTTTTATGATACTTTTTGAACGAGTATCCAAGTCTATTTTTATTTTTAATATCAATTCTTCTGCTCAGTA